ACGTGTGTGGCTGATATCAAAGTAGTTTTTACATTGTGTGGTCTTGGTTCAAAGCCTTTAAATAATATAATTTGTCAATACTTATACACAATTAGTTTAATACATGGTAATTGTGGCTTAGGTACAAATTGGACAATAACATACTCTATGTTAAAAAAACTCGACCAAAATATTTATTTTAACATTTCATTTTTAACAACACAGAAAATTGTAGCTAATATAGAAGTTGGAACTGATCAGCGCCACTATAATTCAACCAATTGTAGCACATGGCTCTGGATTTCAATTTCATAAATGAATGCATGTAATTACCATGCATATCATTATGTTACACGTGTTATTTGCAACTGATGCATTGTATAATTTCATATTTTCACCACATAATACTCGTTTAATATGTGACTTATTCATTAAAACACATAATATCGCATTTTAATTAATTAAGTTCTAGTGGATGTACTAACCAACTTCAGCATTGCCAACCACCAATTTAGCCGCAGGTAATTCAGTCTTCAATATGAGTAGTTCTTCTAAGGAGGTAGGTCGGATCCAGTCCAGAGATTCCCCAACAAACCGCACCGTTTTAGTATGCAATTCATCACTTGTCTATATACAAAACAAAAGTAAGTGAAATAAATGAACGATTACGGAGAATATACGTTAAACATAATAATAAAATAAACATAAACATGCAAGCCAGCTGAAATATCGCGTCAGTATTTCCGCGTATTAATTATAATCCAAGTAACTCATGCACTTGCGAAAGACGTTTTCACTGAAAGATTTGTTATGTATAGACTTGTATGGCTTCCTTAATTTGTCAGACGTTTGGTGCACATCGCCGTTTCACTCCAGCGGGAATCGGAAAGCTAGAATGACAGCGCGATTCCACGTTAAAGCGGACTGAGGTCGTCCCTTACCGTACGAGTGTGATTACAAGAGAATCACATTGGAAGGATATATAGAATATATAATGTAGAATTTAATAATCACAAAGCATACAAATACGTCGCCAGCGTCTTTCCAGTTTTCCAGAAAGACCATGAACTGCCATGCTCGGATGCAGTCTAGGAGTAGGTGGTGGGGTGGATGGTGTTGCTCATCATGGCTCCAAACAATTGTTGTTATCGAATAAGGCAGTCTCATGTCACGCTAGTGACACAGCTCGATATTCCTTAGTTTGCCGCGAATAACCCCAAATTACCTGCAACTCCGGTGGAAATATCACTTCTTGGGTTGGGTCGTAAGGTGTGCAGTCACTGGGTTCAAATAATCGGCTCAAAACCTGAAACAGAAATTGATCCCGTCGATATTATTATATATTTATATTTGTATTTAAAATATTTATTTTACTAATTCCATATTAGAATATATTTTTAATCTAATAGACACACATTTTGAAGCCAGTTTAGAAATCAAAGTACTTCATGGAGTATTTTATATAGACTATGACGGAATTACAAAAAAGATAAAAAACTTCGAATAGATCGCATAAAGTGCTTCAATATTATTATTTTTCTTACATTGTCTTCGTCTTGACGACTGGCATTGCAGGCAGATGGGTTTCCACAACAACCATTCTGTGAAATTAAAATATAAAATACAATGTCATTACAATAATAGTTCACAGCATCCATAAGTATAGTGTGATGACTGTTTCGATGATCAAAATATCGTTAGTTGACAACCCCGGTTTCTATGAACACGTTTCAGATTGGATTTGAATGATAATCCAGTAATGCAAACCTACTTGAGTGTAACTATTTGGACGGCTTCTGTTATCGTGAATATCCTGACAAATGGAATTCAACAGGTGACCTTACGAGGTCGCAATTGATAAACACAAACCATAACGCTCGTTTACTGTTTCAGTTTAGCAATTCTAATACTGCCGTTATGTACTATTGTAAATGTTAACGGAGGTTACTAAGATTGGTTCAATGTTCGAATATGATGAGTCATTACTATGTGATCGGCTAGTGCAACAATAGGGGGCGGAGATTATGTCACAATTCTAGAGTGTATCACTAGTATATGCTTTCGTTTTAGTTGAATAGAGGTTAATTTGTGGCGATGTCAGCGACTATTATAAATATTATGTGTGTATTTATCGGATTGAATGTGCTTATATAACCCTCAAGGTAGAGACAGAAGGAGAACCAATACGACAAAATTAACTTACTCGGTGTTGTGTATATGAGGTGATAATATATTACCTGAGCAAATGTCTTAAACCCTTCCAAAATAGGTCGATATCCAGTGCATCGACATAGGTTACCTCCAAGGCAGTGTTCTATCTGCAAGGCAGTTGGCTCTGGATTGTTACGTAACAAAGTGTACATTGACATTACCATTCCTGGCGAACAAAACCCACACTGCAATCCATACGATTTGGCGAGACGTTCCTGTTTCATGGACAACGAATAAAAATTGCAAATGTTATTATATCCATATATCATTAAAATAAAGTAACGAGGTAAATATAAAACACGTACCTGCACTGGGTGTAATTTTGTTGTTGATCCAACACCTTCCACTGTGGTGATAGCCATTCCATGTACAGAGCATACAGGGGTATAACACGCATTGATAGCATAGTGACTGTATGTAAAGGTTAAAGAGTAATATAGACATTTTGTATAATTCCACAAATTACTTAAATCATATTAATGTTTTGAAAATAAAAATTAATCTTCCGTTCCGCTTACGTTCATATTTATACTTCGAAAGTTCGAGAAACATTTATCTCAAAACATATTTCGAGTTTAATAATTATATGTCCACTTCGTTTGTATGTGCAGTTCGTCACTTTATATGTAGTATTAATCGCATCGTGTATAAAGGATACGATATTTTCTTGTCCACGTGGTCATATTTTGACAGCATTACAGTACAAGCACCACATCCTCCTTCACCACAAGACAATTTACTTCCTGTTAATCTGACTGAACAAGGGGTCAAGGTACATACAAAGTCTTTAAAAAAACAGTAATTGATCAAAGCTCGTGTCTTTGACCTTGAATAGAGTCCTCTGTAACTGAAGTACCACAGTCATACAATGTATGAAACTCACACTAACGCCTTTCTTTTTCATTAATTTATAGCATCGTTTATGATAAAATGTTGTAAAGCTGCATTTCGTAACCAGGAACAGCATAACATAGCTTCAAATATTTACAGAACGTCAACTTGTCGAAATGAAACTGAGTCAATGAGGAGCACTTATTCACAGAACATTTCTTTGAACATGACTAGTGTTCATTCCCCATACTCATGCAACATAGAAATAGTTTTATTTGCATAAGGCCTCGCAAACAATGTTTCTGGTCAATTTTTTTTTTTTTCAAAATGGGGTGATGAGGCGAATTTTTGGCTAAAATATTTGACGGGAACACATTTTGCAGGTTTCATCAATTCATCAACAGTAACGCTATGCAGTAGCGTGCTAACTTTTTAAAGCTTAAATGGGAGCAGAGGTGTGGCTTGTGACACTCTGTACATGAAATCTGAGATCTATGAATGAATTCTGTCGATAAAAATAACTTGTATGCGCTGCGAAATGCCCTAAATATCGGGTATAAAACGGGCTGTGAAGCAGACGACAAACTTCCGCTTTTTCTGGCGTTATTTCGCCTCTAGAGGGCCAGTCAGATGATGTCATCAGTGAACACTGATAATTGAACCCATTCATGCTAGTACGTCAATCCCATAGAAATGCTACTATGAAAGACCTTGTTAACTGACAACTTAAAAGTTGAAACATGGAGAGGTGTTGTGTTATGAATGCCATAACGATTCATGTTATGTTTCTCGAAATCCCAAATAAAAATTCACGTTGCTGGTTGCGAGAAATCGGCGGAAGAACTAACCTGAAAGTGAAGACACGTACAGCGTTCTGGCTATAGAACAATGAGTGAATAAATATTGTACGAATTAAAATTAAATGAGAAATATGCTAATATCACTTGAACTTTTTAAACGATCGCTTAATTTCCGACCTCACTGTATTTTCCAACCGGAAAACGACCA